GTGTGTGTGTGTGTGTGTGTGTGTGTGTGTGTGTGTGTGTGTGTGTGTGCGCGCGCGCGCGCGTCGTCAGAGCAGTCTCACACCAAAACACACACACCTCCTCTTTTTGTAATCAATGCTCTGAAACGACGAGAAAAGAAAGAAAGAAAAAAAAAACGAAAGAAAGAAAAGCAAAGAGAATAAAAAAAACAGGATCTTACTGTTGGTAGTCGTGTTTGCAGTAAAGTTTCCTCTCTCGGAGGTAACAGCTGGTGGTGAGAGGCTGCTGACACACCGTGCACTGCAAACACTCCTCGTGCCACGACGAGTCGTTGACCCGCATCAGGAAGCGGTCGGAGATGGGCCTCTGGCAGCCCTCACACACCGACCTGTGGGGGCAGTCGGAGCCTGCAGGAGGACAGGACATGTCATTACATCCTGCAGAGAAATAACATCAAATAAAAAAGATGCACCTCGGACTCCTGTCAGTCATGATGACATCTGCATTTGCACTTATTTGTGTTGTTCCCTGCATAAACACGAGCCTATGGGTGCAAAATAACAGGAAACGCAACAGCAGCGCGTGCAAAAGGAATAACAGCCCTTCAGTGTCTTGCTACAACAACAACAACAACAACAATAATAATAATAATAATTGGAGGCTCACCCAGCATGACTCCCATGGTGGCTGGACCTGATCGCAGCGGGTGATCTTCGATTTTGATGCCGTCCAGCATGATGCGCGTCCCGGACTGTCCTCCCGCGGAGAGGCGCTCCACCGACACCAGACCTGTTGCGATATCCATAAGAAAACGATCAGATTGTTTTGAAAAAAAGAATATAAAAATCCAGTTCACTCAAAACTTTTTGTTGTTGTTGTTGTTGAGGGGGCTGGAAACACGCAGCCCTGCAGTTCAGAGAAGGAAATAAATGGTTAAAGATTTAAAAAAAAATCGCTGCAGTTAGGAGGAAAAGGCAGCCTGAGCCGGATACACGAATCCAGGGAGAAACAGAGCAAATATGTTCTTGTTTTTTTCATAAAAAAAGGGTGGTAAAAGTCTGTGAAGAGTCACCTGTTAGTAGGGCCAGAGGACCGAGGAGAGCTTTAGGTTCTCCCCCCTGAAGCCGCCGGGAGAGGAAGAGCTGCAGAACTCCGAGTGACAGTCTCACCGCGGAGGAGGAGGAGGAGGAGGAGGAACAACAACAACAGGAGAGAAAAAAAAACAACAACGTGGGGCAAAAAAAGTTGACAACAAATCCAGAGGTAGGAGCGTGAGGAATATGCAGATGTCCCGGCAGGAACTGTTTGGTTGGAACACAGACGGTTGGCTGCTTGTGGCCCCTGTCGCTGCAGAAAGTCTCAGATCAAAACTGAAGCGAGTGGATCCTCCCACTCCTCCTCCTCCTCCTCCTCCTCCTCCTCCTGCATGGCTACACTGTTTTATTCTCTCCAGTCACTGACAGTGGGATTCTATTGGAGCAGATAGTCCAACACACAAACACACTATACTGACACATCCATGATAACACTTCAAATAATAATTAGTATTATTTTTTTATACATTTTAATTTACTCATTGGATTTATTTAGACACATTTTGGAAATATATGACGCATCAAGTTTAGATGGGAAAAAAGGAAAAACATAAAGGAACATATTTATTATGATAAAGTGTTTGTCTTGTTTCTGCAGTGAAACTAGTGTGTGTGTGTGTGTGTGTGTGTGTGTGTGTGTGTGTGTGTGTGTGTGTGTGTGTGTGTGTGTGTGNCACACACACACACACACACACACACACACACACACACACACACACACACACACACACACACACAGAAAGTCAGCCGTCAGCATCTACCCGGCACACACTGCTGCAGCGTCCCGAGCGCAGCTAATTAAAAAACAACAATTTCACAGGAGGGCACTCCAAACAGTTCTGAAAAGCACCTCTCAGCACACCGGGGGATCTCACAGAATGCATGGGAGGTGAGACAGGTTCTGCTTTTATGGCTCCATCGCTGCTCTGTTTTTTTTTTTCTACAGCTCACTGTGACCTGATTTTAATTTTGCTTATAATGCACAAGTTTGTGTATCTAAAAAAAAGGGGGTTGATTTTTTTCTTTTCTTCTTTTTCTTTTAATGGTCTGGCTTATTTCAGGATATATCATTCCCAAACAGCATGCTTCACTGTAAAGTTAGACAGAGCATAAAACGCCTGCACTCTGGAATGCTTCAGCAGGACACAAAAGCAGGGCAGAGCGGCGTAAAATGCAGTTAGTAAATGTTGTGTTTTGGAGTCGGAGCCCGTGGCAGTTTCTAACGAGGCAGTCCATTACAGGGGTGTCGTCCAACACTTGGGGTCGAGTGATAGGCCCTTATTACACAGCTCCCTTCAAAGCATCTGCTTGGTTAGAGGAGGAAAAAAAATCCCTGTGGGGGAAGAGACCCCCCCCCCACTCCATTTTCTAATGATGTATAATTGACCTCTAAACACCAGGGCACAACAAGCTCTCCTGGAATGGTGTAATTCCACTCGGCCTTCTACAAACCGCTTGTCTCGTTGCAGCTTGTTCCTCCTCTACGGCTACGGCTGTCAGACGGCCAGCAGCTCTGTCTGCTGGCCTTCAGCTTTTCCACGCGTCTGAAATATTCAAACTAAACTCTGATTATCATGCCTTCCCTCTATTTTAATATTTTTGAACGTTTCCCCTGGCGTTGGTCCAGTTTGCGTACACAATATCACAAATCCAAACAGCAAAATGTGACGTAAAAGAAAAACCAAAACAGGGAAACGTGACTAAAAGGTTCACCCAGACCAATCTTGTTACCATATAATTGCAAAGCAGGGAGGAAGATATTTTTTGAACTGGGTTTGTGGGAGTTTTTAATAAAACAGTACACAATTGTTTCCCCTCGTCTGCACTTAAACCTGTTCCAAAGGTGCAGAAAAAGCCTGCTTGCCAATTCCTTGATTTATTGGAGCTAGTGCGAGCTGATTACAGGGCATGAATCAGTTGCTGTAGGAATGTAATTAGGCACGAAGACCTCTGTAAGGCTTGGAGCTCTCTTCACAGCCCTGAGCAGTTTGTGGGCTGACAAATGCATCTTAAATGGGTGTCATAAAAGTCAAAAAGGTGCCAATTACATCTTTAAGTATCGCATCAATGAAAATGGAACAAACGTGAAAAAAAAGGCAAAAAGAGAAGAAAAATTGAAACGCTCATCTTAGTGCCACAAATACTCTTATCAGCCTCAGAGGGGTTAAAGAGGAGACGGACGAAAGGATAAATAAAAATACGTGAGAGCTAAATGATGCTCAACACCTCACTGTGTGTGTGTGTGTGTGTGTTTCCCTTTTAACCAAGGGGATCACATTTTCTACTCAAGTTATTCAAAGTAGCAGGAAAATAAAAAGGGGACATTATCATTTTTAATTCCAAATGTATTTTTTAGGGAAGGGAATGTCAGGGAGGACCAACTGGCAGCCAAATAAATTTAAAAGTTAATCCTCATGTGGGTCAATTTATCTTAAAAAATAAACAAAAACAACAATAATGATTTAAAAAAATTACTTGCAACAGGGTTGAGAAAGAGACCCCGACAGCGTCAGCTCCCAGCCACCTCTGAGCCGTGACGGCTCCGGTCTCCCCGGGTTACTGCCATGAATTTTCCTTTTGTTATCAGCCAGCTACACGGATGTGGCAAAGCTGGGTGAATGGCACGCATGGCGATACATGTAACTCTTTGTGGCCTTTGCAAGGTGTCTAGCAGAGAGCCATAATGTCCTGGTAATCGAAGGAGGGTGGTTGAAAAAGCCCAACACAAAAAAGATGAAAATTTAGTGACAAGCATGAAAAGCCCTCATGCAATGAGAAACAGGCAGCAGCCGGGGGTCCGTCCAGGCCAGACTGCAGACCCCTTGTGTGACACCAGCTTCAAATCATCCCCTATCTCTGCTGGGATTACTTGATCCTTTAATAATTCAATTTAGAAATTAATTCCATCCTGTGCTGAACATAAAACTTTCCTATAAAAAAACTTCAAATAATAATGTAAATTAATGGTATTTACAACAGATAAATATGAGCAAGAGGATAATAATAATAATAATAATAATAATAATAATAATAATAATAATAATAATAATAATAATAATAATAATAATAAGAGTTTGTTTTTAATCTAAAAAAGTTCCTGAAATAAATAAACATTTAATTTATTAAACGAAAATTCTTTGCAGACTTTCTATAGAATCTCATTGAACGAACGTTTTATTGTGGAAAAAAATGCGGCCCCCTCCCCCTCCCCTCCCAGCACACAGTTCATTAATGAGTTAATTAATCGCGCTGTTTTAGGTTCGACAAACTCGGGCCTGCTGCTCCGAACCCAGAGGCTCTTTGTGCTGCAAGAAATCAACCTTAAACTGTGGCGCGGAAACAGAGTTGATTTATTTATTTATTTATTTATTTATTTATTTTTTACCAGAACCGAGCATTTTGTTGGGCGCGAAAGGTTTGTGGTTTGAGCTGATAAAAGTTTCACTGATTTGATTATTATTTTTTTTCTCGAGGCTTTGAAAAGAAAATATATTGAGAATAAGAGGAACCTTTTTAAACCCTCAGCAAACTGCAGATGACTTTTAACCAGTGGTTCTGCTTTTATTTTATAAAAACAAAATCAACAAAAGTCGTTTTAGTTCCTTAACAAGCTCAGAAATAATCTTGCGCACAATCTGTATTTTGAACCCATAAACACTGTTCCTGCACGTGTCCCTGCAGCCCGCAAAGGGTTAGTTTGCTTTGAAATGAGTCCCGGCTGCGGAGGATTTCTTTTCTGACCGTCTTTGGATCCGCTCTGAGGCTTGTTAGAGGTTAGAGTCGGTCATCAGCTGTAATTTAATCGGACTCTGCTTGGTCTTTTTTTTTAAATCCTTTTAGAGAAAAAAACAAGTTTGATTTTTACGCAGCAGACGCGCTGTTAAAACAACCCAAGGCAGGGCTGTTGCCCCTTTTATATGGCTTCATTCATTTATAGATTCAAAACTCTTCATCCGGGTCATAAATTTGTTTATTTATTACTTGATCAGGGCACTTTTATGGTAAAATCACATCTCATCAAACTTTCACAGAAAAAGAGTGAATTCTTCAGATCTCACTCGTTTCTGCAGTTTTTCTCCTCTTCCTGCAGCTTTTCTTATCTTCCTGAGGCAGCCAAAAAAATGATACTGCAGGATAATCCCTGCTCCCCAAGGATTAGAGCAAAGTATAATACAGCTCTGTCAACCCATGGCCAGATTTGTTTACGTTATGATTTATTAGATTCAGATTTTTTTTTCTTTTCTCCCATCCCTTCCTCTGACAAATTTATTGAGTTCCTGACAAATGGGCTGACGGGCTCCTGTGTGGAGCTGACATACAAGCTGGGGTTGGGAGTCTGCAATCTGTTTACCTGGTTGGGGGAAAATAAAAAGAAATTAAAATAGAGCTGTAATTAATTATAAATATTGTTACAAAATATTTACTAATCAATTTAATAGCTTATTACAATAGCCTCATTAAATGTCCATAGTTTATTTAATAAATCAACAGTATTTGACTAACTAATTTCACTTTTAAAAGTTGGGGGGAAGTAGATGAGACAGATTTTAAAGATAAATTATTTTCAATTTGCTGTTTTTAAATCACTAACAACCAAATGATTTATGTCGTACATCCACCCATAAATTATATATATTTAAAATAATTGTTTTGCTCGCATTTGTCTGTTCCTTGTTGATTATTTGTATATAGAAGCAGGGTGAATTGTAATCAAAAATACGAAATAAATGTTGTAATGGGAGCCATTTAATTCGTCTTGAATACTAGATACTGATCAGGTGATTTTAAATATGTGAAACAAAATAAAACAACTAATCGCATTACTGTAAAACTAGTCAGGGATTTTATTTTCCAAGAACAGATAATCTGCTGTCAGAAATCCCTGCAGTCATTCACTCAAACCAAACTTCAGCTGGGTCAACATTGTTGGAACAACAACACCGCCCCCTGCTGGTCAAACACTGCAAGTACAACTTTCTGTGCTTCTCCTCAGGTTAGACCTCCATCATTCATTCATTCATTCATTCATTCATTCATTCATTCATTCATTCATTCATTCATTCATTCATTCATTCAATAAATAAAGAATTTTATATAGCTCTAGTTGATCAAGTACTGCAAATTGAATCTGTCATTAAGACAAAAACAGTTATCTTGTAGGACATAAATTATTTTTAACCTATGTTGGTTTATTTATTTAAAAAATGGTATGAGTGAATAATTTGAATTTTAAAATTAAATTTATTGTATTACAATAAATAAATAAATAAATAAATCATATTAACTGTTGAAGTCTTTTATTACCTAAATTGTCCCACA